TGGCTCAAGGTATTTAGCACAGCACTATGAAGCAATCCACACCTCTGAACCACGAGTTTGATTCCCTAGCCAGCCAGGGAGCAACCCATATGGCACAGCAGACCTCTTCTGTCTCACCTGCTGCTCCCCTCAGCAGTGTGTTTCAGTCCGTCTACCTGTTCTGCTCCCCAATCTTTCTCTGGTGAATCCTCTCACCCTCCACACATCTGGCCTGCACCCAGATAAATCAATCTTTAAAAAAATATATATAATTGCATAAATAAATCAATCTTTAAAAATATATATAATTGAAACAAAAAAATCATATAAACCTTACAAAAGAGGTAAAAGACCTATACAAAGAAAACTATAAAACACTGTTAAAAGAAATAGAAGAAGACACAAAGAAATGGAAAGACATCCCCGGCTTATGGATTGGAAGAATTAACATCGTTAAAATGGCCATCCTACCAAAAGGAATTTATAGATTCAACACTATTCCAATAAAAATCTCAATGTTATTCTTCAAAGAAATGGAACAAATACTGGTGAAATTCATAAGGAACCACAAAAAAACATGAATAGCCAAAGCCCTACTGACAAAAAGAGAATGGAGGTATCACACTTCTGAATTTCAAATTATACAACAAAGCCATAATAGTTAAACCAGTATGGTATTGGAACAAAAACTGATACACAGACCAATGAAACCGAATGGAGAGCCAAGAAATAAAGCCACACATATATGGATAACTAATCTTCGACAAGGGAACAAAAAATATGCAATAGAACAAGGATAGTTTGTTCAAAAACTGGACCTCTACATGCAAAAGATGAAACTCAATCACTATCTCTTACCATAGACAAAAATCAACTCAAAATGGATAAAAGATCTGTACATAAAACCTAAGACCATAAGATATATTTAGAAAATATAGGTAAAACACTACAAGACATACATCTCAGTAACATCTTCAAAGACTCATCACCCAAAGCAAAGAAAGTCAAGGAAAAGATAAACACCTGGGATTACATCAAACTGAAAATCTTCTACACAGCAAAAGAGACATTAACCCAAAGAGATACCCCACTGATTGGGGAAAAAAAATATGCACTCCATACAACTGATAAGGGACTGATCACAAAGATATACAAAGAACTCACATGGCTCAACAAAAGCAAAATTAACAATCCAGTCAAAAAATGGGCTGAAGAACTTAAAAGACACCTCTGTAAAGAGGAAGTGCAAATGGCTAACAGGCATTTGAAAAATGTTCACTATCCATTATAATCAGGGAACTGCAAATCAAAACTCCAATGAGATACCTCCTTACACCAGTAAGAATGTCACATATCAAAAAAAAAAAAACTAGCAACAACAAATGTTGGTGAGGATGTGGTAATAAAGGAACTCTCCTACATTGCTTGTGGGAGAGAAAACTGGTCAAACCACTATGGAAAGCTCTCTTTAGGTTCCTCAGTCTACTAAAAATGGAGCTATCCTATGACCCAGCAATTTCACTCCTAGGGATCTACCCAAAGGACACAAAAACATTGATTCAAATAAAATACCTCTACCCCTATGTTTATTGCAGCACTATTTATAATAGGTAGAACCTGGAAACCAACCCAAATGCCCCAAAATAGGTGACTGGATCAAGAAGATGTGGTATATATATATATATATATATAATGGAATACTACTTAGCAATCAAAAAAGATAAACTGATGTCATTGGCAGCAACATGGATGGAGGTAGAAGGAATTATGCTCAGTGAAATAAGTCAGAAGGAAAAAGAGGGGCTCCCCGGTGGCTCAGTGGGTTGAGCACCATGCTGTGAAGCTGTCTGCAGCCTCTACAGCACAGGTTCAATTCCCGGCCAGCCAGTGAGAAACCCTCATGGTGTGGCAGACCTTTCCTTCCTCACCCGCTGCTCCCCTCAGCAGTGTCTTTGGTTCATCTGCTTGTTCTGCTCCCTACTCTGTCTTTGGTGAATTCTCTCACCCTCCCATGCCTCTGACTTGTACCCCAGCTATTGTATAAACAAATAAAAATATAAAAAATAATAATATTTGCAACTGATATTTTAAAAAAATGAATAAAATATTTGGAAAAAAAGAAGGAAAATAAAAATATTGGATGGTTTCACTTATAGGAGGAATATAGGGGAACCAAATAAGACATCTGGGGAAAAATAATAACAGTACAAAACACAACAAAATAAACAGACAATTATAAATCAGAGACATCATGCAGGGGAGGAGGAGGGAGAAGGATCAGAGGAAGGGAGGAGCACCTGGGACTGAAGTGATGGTGCACAGGTGCATTGATGAAGGAAATTCTATGGGGACTACAACTGATGTGGAAGGGTAAAACAAATATTGTTTAAAAATTAACAATGATGTAAATATATATAAAAATAAAGAAAAAAAGAAAAAATAGGAAAAAGTCAACAAGAATCTGCCAAGTATAACAGAACAATTCACACTTTTGCATAATTCACTACACTGTGTCTATACATATACATATATATATATATATATATATATATATATACAGAATTGTAATCATAGCAACATACCACTTTGTGTTTTGATTTTTAACATTATATCATAAATACTTCTCTATATTTCTAGAAGTCTCCCCAATAATTTTAATAGCTACATTATATTTCATCAAGTTAAATGTGCCACACTATATATCTTATCAAGCCTTAACTTCACAGAAAAGCAATTAACAAAACCATCACCCTTTGGACAGTTAATGTTTCTCCTAATATACAGTTAATGTTTCTTGTTGCACAACACAAAATATAATAGTAAGAAAATGATGTCTTTGAGAAAATTACATATTTAAGGTTTAGGAATCTGTGCTAACATTTCTATCTGTTCTCTCTTCTCCAAAGTCTTCATTCTTCTTTTTCAACTTTGTTATATATCATGATCATTGAGATTGAGTGTTATTACTGCATCCCGAAGTTTTGACAGTAATGTGTTCCTTCCCTAAGACCTTCAAATGGGAGCAATGAACAAATGTATTAGTATGTCCTGAACTAGCATTTCAAGGAATGAATGAGCTTTCCATCCTGGCTTCTGTCTTCCAGTGTAGTCACTCACTAATACCTTTCCTTGCCCAGAATTGACTCCTTTATAGGACATCATTACCAATTTTTTTCCAGCTGTGCCTCTCGGTCTACAAGAGGGAGAAAAACTGGGAGCAAGGGTGAGGAAGTATCTGCCTCTTTTCCTAATGTCAAGATGGAAATGTTCCTGCCAAATAATATGCTTACTGCTCTCCTTGCTCCATCTTAATGAAGAAAATTAAAAGAAGTGATAAGATTATAAAAAGAAAGAGAGAAAAAGTAAGAAGAGAGAGAGAAAGGCGGGCAACCCATGGAAGTTGCATATTAGGCAGGGAGGGACCTATATGAGTTATTGCTTATTTCCCTGTTAGTCAAGTAAAGCTTTCTAGGGAGGAAGAATTTGTGGAGCTACTTCAAAAAAAAAAAAAGGAGTGGAGGGCCTCTCCTGTGGTGCAGCGGTTGAGCGCTGGGTTGCGATGCTGCCTGCAGCCTCTGCAGCACCGGTTCGATCCCCGACCACCGGAAGAGGGTCCCACATGGTGCGCAGACCTCTCCTGTGGCCCACTGCTCCCCTCAGCAGTGTACTTCATCAGTCTGCCAGTTCTGTTTTCCGCTCTTGCTCTGGTGAATTCTCTCACCCTCCCGCGCTTCTGACTGTACCCAGTGCTTGTATAAATAAATAAATAAATAAATAAATCTTAAAAAAAAAAAAAAGGGTGGAGCTAAAAGGGTATTGTGGGAATAGAGGGTATTTATGGTCAAATATTGAATATGAATAAATGCAGGGAATCTTGAGCATATCAGTAAACCAGGGCAGCAATCATTAGTTAAATAAATGTCAACAGGTACAGAGTATTAATTTGTAAATTGTTAAATGATACCTATCTGAACTGGAGGTTGAGAAGAGATAAGGGAAGTGAGGTTTTGGTAGAGGTTGGTAAAGGGTACTGAAGTCAGGGATGAGGATATTCTAGATTATGCCTAGATGACCTAATCAGCAGCTATATTAGGGTAAACAAAGTAGAGGTAGGGAAAGGGCCAGAAGTGATTAGTCAGTCTTTACAATGAGGGGCTTAGCACTTATGAATGATGTTACAAAACTTACATTTAAATTTTAGGTGAAATAAAGTGGCCATAATTCATTCATTAACAAAATCATTTTTATGTGCTAATTATTTCTAATGAGGACAGTGGCCATTAGTTAAAAATCTATATCAGTAAGTTCAGATCAAAAAAGTATGTTGAGGTATTTCCCCTCTGACTGACAATGTTGACTAAGTCTGATTGTGTTATTTCAGCATTCATGTATCAGTCCAAGAATCTCTTTTATGAGTTCATCCCTTTCATCAATACCTAGTTGTGTATTCATTCATTCATTTATTCACAAATGTATCCTGTACTCCAACCCGTTAAAAACATCGTATGGCTGGACATTTATGGACTCACTGGCTGAGCTCATTCAAACAATCTTTCCTGGCCAGCTACCTTAGATAGTTAAAATATCTGCTTTAAGGAATGGGTTAGTCTTGTCATTTCCTATTCACTTTGGGATAGTTTTCCTGCCTGGGTATCTGTTGCCAAATTTTTGTCAATGTTATTACCACATTTTGGATTGGTCCTATAAGAAATAGAATTTTAGAGATGTGAATGGATTCAGTTAAACCAATAGCTAATAAAACAAGTGAAAATGTTTGTGTTTAACCAGCTTCTGTAAAGGGCCCTATGGCTTTTTGGGATAAGAAAATGATGGACAAAACTCAGGATTCTGTAGATGTTTGTTTGAGATCGAACTTTATTACTCACTGATCGAGTAGATATGAAAAATGGAAATGATCATCCCCCTTTGCTTCATGGAACTGAAATGAGGCTTCCAGGTGTTTAGAAAGAAAAACCCTGAGTCAGGGATATCTTCAAACTGAGCTTTTCCTTTGTCTACAGGGCTACCTGAAACAATGCCGGAAGAGAAGGGACATGTTCAGTGATGAGCAACTGAAAGTGATCTTTGGGAACATTGAAGACATTTACAGGTTTCAGATGGGCTTTGTGAGAGACCTGGAGAAACAGTACAACAATGATGACCCCCATCTCAGTGAGATAGGACCCTGCTTTCTGGAGCATGTAAGTATCTTTCTCTTTGGGGATGGTTTTCAGAGAGCTTAGGAGACAGTAGGAGTGTCTGAGATATTGTCCTATTCAGCTAATCTCTCCTATGGTGGGGGATAGATTCTTCTCTGACCCTGATATTAACCCCCTTGCCAGGGTAAATAGATTTAGAAATGTGCTGTGATTTGACCTGGGGCTCTTCCTTTACATTTTCCCTTTCTTTCCTCTTTACTAGCCAGTGGGAATTTTCTTCCACTTCTATTTTCCATTCTAATTAAATGCAGTTTCCTTGGGACCCAGTGTTTTGGGAGGGGCTTTAAACTATTCACTACATGGAGAATACAGGAATCTAAGAAACTGGAGAAACTGTTGTCAGCAGGAAAGTAGGCCCCTGGAAGGCATTTAGGGAGAGCATTAGGGCAGGTGTTATGACAAGTATAGGAAAAGTGGAAACATAAATTATAAGAAGGAGACTAGGAAACAGAAAAGTTTGAATTTGAGTCCTGTGTCTGGATTGACTCTGATTAATCTTGGGTTAGTGCCTTATCTTTTTTGGGCTTCCTCATCTGGAATATAAGGTTTCTCTGTATACCTCTGCATTCTCTAATCTTTTTGGACTCATTCATGGGCAACCTAGTCATTTTGACAACTCTTTCTCCCCTTTTTATAAAATACTTAAAGAGATAATATATGCATGATACAAAATTAAAATGACACATAAGAGTATGCAACTAAAAGTAACCTGCAAATTATCCCGTTTTGCTTATGGAAATGTGTATTGGAGGGGCTATTCCTAAAGACCACCCCTGTGTTCAGAGATTTTCTAGAAGGACTCAGACATGCTTATTGTTATGATTTATTACAGAAAAATAATAAAAAGGGAAATTATCTAAAGGAAAAGGTACATGAGGGAAAATCCAAAAGTAACCAGGCATAAGCTTCTAACAATCCCTAGGAGGGAAGTAACAAGATGCTCTTAATTCCCATTGCAGTGATTTATGACCACCCATGTGAAATGTGTCCACCAGGAAACCTCATTAGGTATTCAGTGCCCCAGATTTTTATGGGGCATTGATCATATAAGCACCCTCGGCTTAGGACCTACCAAAATTCTAGACTCTCAGAAGGAAAACAGTTATTCAGCATAAAACACATTGTTTATATAATTATACATAGTTAGATGCTCTTGTCAGGGCATCATGAAAGTGCTCTTGATATCCAACTTTCAAATGTCAGCCAAAGGCCAAACTTTGAAGCACATCTTCTAAAGATGGCAGTCTCAGGCCTGCTATGTTAACTCTTTTCTGCACAGTATTTAAACTGATTCAGCCATTCCAGAAGGTATTTTGGCAGTATTCATAAAATTTTAGCATCTGTATGATCTAGAGATTCCATTCCTGAATATATATCCCAGAGAAATTCTCAGAGTCCATGAGGGAGCATTTATTTGCAATGCTGTTGAATGCATGACGGTGTTGTGTATGGTGGAATGCAATTAGAAGCTACTTAGGTGCTTATCACAAAGGGAATGGAATGTGGGATTCTTATTTGGGGATATTATGTAGCAGGAAATGACAGATTAGATGCATGTGCATGGATATCATCAACATAGTTTTGAGTGGGAAAAGTAGAATATAGAGTATTGGTTCCAGTTAGAGCCTGAGTTAATCTGAGTTAATCCTCTTTCTTTAATTTATTTTATATATTTTAAATCACTTTTTCATTTTTGCACAATGTATGCTTTTTCATCTTGGTTATAGTCCCCATATAATTCCCACCCCCCTTGTTTTGACCGTAATCCCTCCTACCCACCCCACCCCCTGTAATGTGTGTCTGGCTTATAGTTGCATATTGATTTTGACTTTTACTTTATTATAATTAGCCTTTTTCCTGGTCCCTTATTTAGGTTTTCTAAATTCCTGCTATGAGTGAGACAGTATCTCTGGTCCCTACCAACTGGATACCAGTAAGACCACCCCCCTGCCAGTATGACCACCAGGCATGGTCAAATGTCCCCTAGGGGTCAAAAAAGAACCATTGATCCATCAAATGATCATATGATTTTATCCTTTAATCTGTTAAATCTGGGGTGAATTTGGATTGAATAATTTTAATATATTAATTGAACATTGTATATTTGAGATAAAACCTACCCTGCCTTTGATATCCATCCATGGTGTTGCATTTATCAGTAGTCAGTTCTTTTTTTATTGTCTAGTAATTTTCTATTTTATGGATATATTACTCATTTACCAGTTCATTCTAGGATATCTAGGTTGTTTCCAATTTTGAATTGCTATGAATGAAACTGCTCTGAACATGTCTATACAAGTCCTTGTGAGAACATATGTTTTCATTTTTCATGGTTAAATACTTAAAGGTGGGATTATTAGGTTGCATGGTGTTTAATTTTTTAAGATACTGCCAAAGCATTTGCTAAAGTAAACTTACCATTTTGCATTTCCATTTCTAATATTTAGGAATTGGAGTTGCTCTCCATGGTTCTTAGTACTTGGTATTATCAGTATTTTTTTAAATTTTAGTCATTTTAATTAGTGTGTACTAGTGTTTCACTATGATTTTAATTTGTTTTTCCCTAATGGCTAATGATGTTGAGCATTATTTCATGTGCCTATTGGTCATCTATATAAAATGTTTGGTGAAGTGTCTGTTCATATATTTCAACCATTTTTAAGTTTCACAAATTCTTTTTAATATATTCTATTTATAAGTCCTTTGTCAGATATGGTTCATAAAGAATTTTGTCACATTGTATGGCTTAGCCTTTCATTTTCTTGACAGAATCTTTGAAAGGCATAAACTTTTAACTTTGACAAAATTGAATTTATTTTTTCTATTATGGTTCATGTTTTTGGGGGTCTCATGCAAATCATTGCCTTACACATGGTCACAAAGATTTTTTTTCTGTTTTCTTATACAAGTTGTGCAATTTTATTTTTCATATTTAGATCTGTTATCCTTTTTTGAGCTAATTTTTATTATAGTACAAAAGAAAGGTCATGGTTAGTTTGTTTCTATATAGTTATTTAGTTGTTCCATCACTATTTGTTGAAATATCTGTTATTTTTTCCAGTGACTTACCTGGGTATCCTTGTCAAAAGTCAGTTAATACTAGTAGTCTATTTTTAGGAACACTATTCTGTTACAGTGATATATGTGAATATTCATATACTAATACCACACCATTTTTGTTGCTGGTTTTTAAAATGTAAGATATAATTGTCATAAAACATTATATTAGTTTCAGGGCCTCCCCGGTGGCGCAGCGGTTGAGCGCTGGGTTGCGAAGCTGCCCGCAGCCTCTGCAGCGCCGGTTCAATCCCCGGCTGCTCCCCGGCCACCGGAGGAGGGTCCTACGTGGTGCGCAGACCTCTCCTGCCGCCCGCTGCTCCCCTCAGCAGTGTACCTCGGTCCTTCTGCCTGCTCTGCTCCCTGCTCTGGCTCTGGTGAATTCTCTCACCCTCCCGCACTTCTGACTATACCCAATGCTTGTATAAAATAAATAAATCTTTTAAAAAAAAAAAACATTATATTAGTTTCAGGTGTACAGCTTAATCATTTGATATCTGTATATATTGTGAAGTGATCACCACGATAAGTCTGCTTAACATATAACACCATACGTAGTTACTTTTCTTACTATCTGGATTGTTGTAGCTTCTAGCAATTATTCAGAGCTAGTAGCGTAAGTCTTCCAATTTTTTTTTTCAAGATAATTTTGGCTATTTTAGGTGATTTGTATTTCTATATAAATTTAGGAATCAGCTTGCCAAGTTCTACCAAAAAGCAAAAACAAAAATCCTGTCAGCATTGTGATTAAGATTGCATTAAATCTATAGGTCAGTTTTGGGGAAAAGGACGTATTTTCAGTTCCATGAATCTCTAAATATTTATGTATGTAGGTTGTATATAATTTCTCCCAGTATTGTTTTTATTTTTCATTGTATAGATAGCCATATTTTTAAAAGTTAGTTATATTTGTTTGCTGCTATTGTAAATTATGTTTTTATTTCAGTTTACTGTAGTTTAGTATATGATATAGAAATACAATTGATTTTTATATATACTTTGAATCCTGACACATTACCAAATTCATTAATTGGTTTTAGGTGCTTCATTTCGTTTTTGTTTTTGTATTTTATCTCTCTCTCTCTCTCTCTCTCAATATATATATATATATATATATATATATATATATAACATTTTATACTTAATCAGGTAATTTCTGAATAAAGACCATTTTATTTCTTTTTTTAAAGATTTTATTTTATTTTATTTATTTATGCATACAAGAGCTAGGGTACAGGCAAGAGATGCGTGGGGTGAGAGGATTCACCAGAGACAGAGTGGGGAGCAGAACAGGCAGACTGACTGAAATACACTGCTGAGGGGAGCAGCAGGCAAGGCAGGAGAGGTCTGCTGCGCCATGTAGCTCCCTGTCTGGCTGGGGATCGAACTCGTGCTGCAGTAGCTGAGGATAGCTTCATATGTGGTACTTAACCCCTTGCACCACCAGGGAGGCCAGAGACCATTTTATTTCTTTTTTTTCAATATATTTCAATTATATTTACTTTTCTTATTGTATTACACTGACTAGAACTCCCAGTATATTGTTACCTAGAAAAGGTGAGACCATGCATATTTTGCCTTGCACCTGAGGGGAGCATTCATTATTTCACCACTGTGAATGATATTAGCTTTATTTTTTTTATGTTTGTCCTTTTATCACATAGAGTAAGTTTCTTTCTGTTCCTAATTAGCAGATGGCTTTTATAATAAATGTGTTTTCTCAAATGCTTATTATTTTGCTTTTGTAGTAATCATATGATTTTTGTCCTTTAATAAATTATCATGGTAAGTTTGATTGGGATGAAACCCTTTCAATCATGGTCTATCATCCAAATGGTCTATCATCTAAATACTACTTTAAGTCTATTTATAATAACAGCATCTTTACCTTTTTGTCTACTAAATTCCATTGCCTATTTATTATTATTTTAGTTTTTTTCATGTCTTACATTCTCAATTGTGAAGTTATTTTTGAATGTGTAATGAACAATGTATAAGGAAATGTATGGAGATATTTAAAACTTGGAAATAACCTCTAACTTATAGGAAAATTAAAAAACAAAACAGGAGAGTTCCTTTTTCTCCACAACCTCGACAACATTTGTTGTTGCTAGTTTTTTTAATATGTGCCATTCTCACTGGTGTGAGATGGTATCCATTGGTAGTTTTGATTTGCATTTCTCTGATTACAAGTGATGTTGAACATTTTTTCATGTGCCTGTTGGCCATTTATATTTCTTCTTCAGAGAAGTTTCTTTTTAGCTCTTCTGCCCATTTTTTGACTGGATTATTTTCTTTGTTTTTGTTGAGTCGCATCAGCTCTTTGTAGATTTCTGTGATCAGTCCTTTATCATTATTGTTGTGTGCAAAAATTTTCTCCCAGTTGTGGGGTTTCTCATTGTTTTGGTTATTGTCTCTTTTGCTGTGCAGAAGCTCTTTAATTTGATGTAGGTTGTGGAGAAAAAGGAACTCTCCTGCACTGCTGATGGGAGTGAAAACTGGTCCAACCACTATGGAGAGCTGTGTGGAGATTTCTTGAACTACTAAACATAGAGCTTCCATATGATCCAGCAATCCCATTCCTAGATATTTACCCATTTGACACAGAAACAGTAATTCCAAAGGGCACCTGCACCCCTATATTTATAGCAGCACTATTTATAATGGAAACAACCCAAATACCCAAAAATAGATGACTGGATCAAGAAGATATGGTACATATACACAATGGAATATTACTCAGCAATGAAAAAAAAGATAAACACATGCAGTTTGCAGCAACATGATGGAGCTAGAATGGATCATGCTCAGCAAAATAAGTCAGAAAGAAAAAGAAAAATACTGGATGGTCTCACTCATAGCAGGTATTTAGAAAACCTAAATAAGACACCAGGAAAAAGACTAATCAATACAAAGTAAAAACCAAAATCAACAAGCAACTATAAACCAGAGACACACTATGGGTGGTGGGGAGCAAGGGGCGGGGAAAGGAAGGACTAGAGTCAAAATAAGGGGGGAGGTGCAATTGTATGGGGAATATAACCAAAATGAAGATGCATACATTGTGCAAAGATGAAAAAAGATGTAAGAATTATATAAAATAAAATATTAAAAAAAACAGTACAAAGACTACCCTTATGCCATTTATTGAGATTCACCTGTTGTTACAGTTTCACTGTGTTTGCTTTATCATTTGAAGATTCTCACCCTCTCTCCTTCTCTGTCCTCCCTACTCTCTATGCACATGTTTATGTATACATAAACACACACACACATACACTCATATATTGTTTTCCTTGGCTATTTCTGTTTTGCTTGCATACATCACAGTTTCGTTATCCTTTAATGCTCTATTGTGTTATTTCCTAAGAGAATTTCTTTGTAGATAAAGTGAGCCTCTGGATGATGTGATACTTTCAAACAGAAATTTACTTTATTTTCCAAATTTTCTAGGTTTCCTCAGTGGTAGAATTTATCTAAAACAACTTAGTCTGGCATTGCCAGAAGTGGAATCCCTGCCCTATCTCATTTTATGATGCAGTGCCAGGATTTTATAGCCATTGTGTGTTTCACTGGTATCAGGAGCAGTCTTCCCTTTTCATCCTTCCTTTACAGAATGTCTTTACTATTCAAGACTTATTTTTCTATATAATATTTTGATCAGTCTTTCTAATTCCCAAATAACTCATTTAATTTTATTATTAAATTATAAATAAATTTAGAAAAGATTGACATTGTTCTCATTGCACTATTCATACATAGATCAGGGCCTGGTTTTCCATTTCTTTTGGAGTCCTCAGTAGCTTTTACCTTTCTTTCCATTTTTTTCCTCTGCTCACAGCAAGATGGATTCTGGATATACTCTGAGTACTGTAACAATCACCTGGATGCCTGCATGGAGCTCTCCAAACTGATGAAGGATAGCCGTTACCAGCACTTCTTTGAGGCCTGTCGCCTCTTGCAGCAGATGATTGACATTGCTATTGATGGTTTCCTTTTGACTCCAGTGCAGAAGATCTGCAAGTATCCCTTACAGTTGGCTGAGCTCCTCAAGTATACTGCCCAGGACCATAGGTAAAGTATTGAAGGAGGCAGGAGTGAGGGAGAAAGCCTCCTCTACATGTCGGTCCTTATTGAAAATGTACACCCTTCTTCCTTTTCTGAGCTCAACCTATATGCACAATGGGATTGATATAATGTTCTTGGTTACCTCACAAAGCTGGCATGTGTGTAAAGTAAGGAAGTCTTGTGACAGTTGCTTGTAAAGTTGTAATCAGTATGCACACAGAATCGATATTCATCATCACCATTGTACAGCCTTCAGGGAACTTATAGCCTAGTCTTTAGTCCTTAAGTCAGTCAAGTGAGTCAACCCAGATGGAATAATTATTCAACTGCATATTCTGCTATGCTTAATAGATTTAAATAGCTTGTTTTGATCTTAGATTTCTTCAGCAATGCTGCATCCTTGTTCTTCTTCAGACTTTTCCACTTTACTCTGCCTCATCCCAACTATACCTTCCCCTTAGTCTCAGATAATGACTGGGGGAAAGGGCTTTAGACATTTCCTGAGGTTTAAAAATATTTTTCTTGTATTTTCAGAGAAACAATAAAAAACCCCAAGAAATCAAGCTTTCCTGAATGGAAATAATCCCTCCACCCCCTACCAGTGTAATATATGCTGGAAATCATCTCCAGTAATGGAGATGGTCTACAGTGAACAATCTCCACTCTTTCATATGCTTTGCTTCATGACCTAGACCCCTCATTCTATTTTGACCCTGCCTTTAATTATCATTAAATCCCTGACTTCTATTGGTATTAAATCCCTGACTTTAGAGTGGTTGGCTCATCATTCAGTTCTTTCCGATTGAGCATTCCAAGAAGAAAGAAGGCCTTTGTCCAATTTCCTTTAGTTTTCTCCATGATGCAAGGCAGAAAAAGTTAAGGCCAGCTTCTTACTTTAATTTGACTCAATGCCAGGTTTCTATGGAGATGAATTCCAGACTCTGTTGCATTAAATCACGGGTGTGTGCCAGCTGATTTTGTTTATGTCAAGCTTTAAGCCAATCCCTGGATTCATTTTCATGTTTATATTGTTTCTTTAACAAATCATTTTTCCTACACTTCAGTGGTTCTGGAACCCTGAAAATATTTCAAATCAATGTGTAGCACTGTATTCTCCCTTTTGTGTGAGGAATACTGACTATAGCTCTCCTTTTCATACGGTGATGGATGCAGGTAGAACAGGATATTGAAAAGGAGAATTCAGCTTCTTCCTCCCTGATTCTTACTTTACTGGCTGAGGGATTGATAGAGGTATTCACTAGACATGAAATCTGAAGGTGACTGAACCTTACTTGAATGGATTTATTAGCCTATTGCCAGAACTGAGTTCCAACTTTTCTAAGGATATGGTTTCTAATGAGAACAAATATGAGACTGAATAATCCCAAATAAAATTAAGGATATTTAAAAGTAAAATAGAAAATATTTTATACCTAAATTGGTAAAACCCTTAAAGGAAAGTCTTTTACTCAAATTTTTCCATTCTAAGGCTGGAAAATACTGAGTCAAAAAGTAAATCAATGGCAAATCAGGAACAGTATGGACGGTAGTCTGGGAACCTAGATTTCAAAGAGATTTCAGATGATTTTTATGCTCAAGAAGGTTTGTGAACTATTGTAGTAGGTAACCTGAAAGACCTCTTCCACTTCTGTGAGCCCATGATGTCATGAACCCAAATGACCACAGTTCTGCTGTAGCCTTCACTGGAATGGATATAAAACTGGAATATACAGGAAGTGCCCCCCTGACTCGCCATTTTCGAACAGGGATCTGTGCATCCGGAACCCACCTAGACTGTGTGGAATTGGGAAAGGGCTGTCCCCACAGGCAGGGGTGAGATTAAAATCCCCTACCTGGCCACCAGTTGGAGCCCAGAGGGGGATCCAGCCACTGCCGGGGCAGACCACAGGTGCAGGGAAGTTCCCCCTGACTCTCCATTTTAGAACAGGGATCACTGCGTCTGGAACCCACAGAGACTGTGTGGCTGGGAAAGGGCTGTCCCCACACCCAGACATGAGCTGAAGGCCCCCACAAGCCAGTTCCTGCCTGGCAGAGAGTTGGAGCCCAGAGGGGGATCCAGTGATTTGGAGCCCAGTGGGCAATGCAGCCACTTCAGGGCAGTCTGTGCAGCCTCAAGAGCCGCCTCTGGAATTAAACAAATACAGAAGGAGGAGATTTTCTGGGACAGCAGCCATTAACATATCCATAGTATGACTTCCCTACTGGAATTCTGGCATAAAGGATTGGACTCTATTGGACAACCAGTTTCTGATATCCCAGAAAGAGCACTCCAAAGAGTTGCCAGACAGTACCAGCGACACAGAGTCCCAATGCATAGGACAAATTAGAAAACAAGCAGCAGGGAAAAGAAAAGCTACAAGCAACCAAGACACACCACAAAATGAAAAACACCAACAGATAGCAACATCAGTGACTTGGAAGAACTTCTGAGCCTTCCAGAGAGAGAATTTAAAATTGTCATGATTAAAACACTGGCAGAAGTCATAAAGGAAAACAATGATAAGGGGAAAATAATCAATGATCAGAAGAATGAAATTGAGTCCCTAAAGAGGGAAGTGAAAGAGGTGCAAGAGATCAAAGGATTAATGAAAGAGCTAACGTACTCTGGAAAAAGCAATGAAAGCAGAATAGATTAAATGGAAGAACGAGTAAGTACTTTCAAAATCACAGAAATAAAAAGAACTGAAACAGAAAAGGAAAGAGAAATATGAAGGAAAAAGAATGAAGAAAGACTTCAGGAACTATATGATTCCATGAGGAAAGGAAATATAAGATTTCCAGGAATCCAAGAAGGATAGAGAGAGGCATAAGAACAGAGAAAATATATAAGTAGATAATTGAAGAGAACTTCCCAAATATAAAGAAGGAGCTGAAACTAGACATATAAGAAGCAAGAACACCAAACTTCCATGATGAAAGGAAAAATACAGCAAGACACATAATAGTAAAGCTCCCATGAATACAAGAAAAGGAAAAAATAATGAAGCTGACAAGAGGGAAAAAACAGATAATATACAAAGGAAAACCAATCAGGCTGACATCAGACTTCTCTGAAGAAACATTATGGGCAAGGAAAGAGTGGAGGGACATAGTCAACAAACTACAAGACAACAAATGCCAACCAAGAATACTCCATCTTGCAAAGCTTTCCTTCCTCTATGAAGAAAGAATAAGGACCTTCCTAGACAAACAGAAAATCCAGAATTTCATTTGACTAAATCCCCACTCCAAAAAATACTACAAGGAGTCCTAAAGTCAGAACCAACAGAGGGATGAATAAGAACGAAACAAGACCAAAAAATTATTAAAAAATAAATAAAACAAGAGAAAAGACAAACAAAATGACAAATATAGATGCTAACATATCAATATTAACTCTAAATGTAAACAGACTAAACCCTTCAATAAAAAGACACAGAGTAACAGGTTGGATAAAGAAACAAAACTCAACATTTTGCTGTCTCCAGGAAACACATTTAACTACAAAAGATAAAAATATACTGAAAGTTAAAAACAGGGCAGGAACAGCTATACTTAGACAAAAAAGATTTCAAACTCAAAAAGGTAAAAAGAGACCCAGATGGTTACTACATTATGATCAAGGGGACAATACTTCAAAAGACATAACACTCATTAACATATACTCACCATATGAGGAGCACCAAAATATATCAGACAACTATTATCATCTCTGAAAACAGACATTAGAGAAAATACATATGTAGTAGGAGATTTCAACACACCACTATCATAATGGATAGATCAATGAGAAAAAAATAGGTAAGGACACTAGAGCTCTAAGTAAGTATCTAGACCTCATTGGCTTAACTGATATCTACAGAGCATAAAACCCAGAAAAATCTGAGTACCCATTTTTCTCAAACACACAAGGTTCATTCTCCAGGATCGATCACATACTGGGACACAAGACAAACATCAACAGATACACCACGATGGAAATCATACCAACCATCTTCTTTGACCATGAAGGCATCAAACTAGAAATAAACCATAAAAAGAAGGAAAGGAACCCTCGTACATCATGGAGATTGAAACCCACACTACTGGAAGACCAACCACTGGACAAATGAGAAGATCAAAGAAAAAATTTAAAAGTTGAATAACAAGGAGGACACCAATTTCTTAAATGTATGGGATGAAGCAAAAGCAGTAATAAGAGGAAAATATATAGCAATAGAGGCTCACATGAAGAAACAAGAATGAACTCAAATAAACAACCTAGTCTCACATCTCAAAGAACTAGAAAAACAACAAAAAATACCATAAAACCAGTAGATAAAAAAAAGAAATAATAAAAATCAAAGCAGAAATAAATGAAATCAAAACTAAAAAAAAGTCCAAAAGATCAATGAAACCAAAAGCTGTTTATTCAGGAAAAAAAAATAAAATAGATAAACCCCTAGACAGGCACACAAAGGAAAAACAGGAGAAAGCAGAAATAAACAGGATCACAAATGGAAGAGGGGAAAACACAACAGATACATCAGAAATGAAAAGAATAATCAAAACTACTATGAACAGTTATATGCAAACAAATTCAACAATAAAGAAGAGATGGGCAATATCCTACAACTTTACAATTATCCAAAGCTAGATGAAGAAGAAATAGAACACCTAAATAGACCAATTACAAGCAGTGAAATTGAAATGGTAATCAAAACCCTCCCCCAAAACAAAAGCCCAGGACCAGATGGATTTACAAATGAATCCACCAAACATTCAGAAATCAACTAGTACCAAACCTTCATAAACTCTCAAAAATATGAGAATGAAGGGATAATACCAAACATGTTCTATGAAACCAACATTACACTAATACTAAAACTGAACAAGGACAACACGAAAAAAGAAAACTACAGGCCAATCTCTCTAATGAACACTGATGTAAAATCCTAAATAAAATTTTAGCTATTAGAATCCAACAATGTATCCATAAGATAATTCACCACAACCAAGTAGGATTT